GATAAGGTGCCTCACAAACGCCTGGTCACTAAGTTGCAATCATATGGTTTCCGAGACCCGTTACTGTCCTGGCTCAGAACATCTTTAGAGGGTCGCTTCCAAGTAGTAAAATTCAGTAATTGCTACTCCACCCCTAGACTTATACAAAGTGGTGTCGTCCAGGGTAGTGTGCTAGGACCGATACTTTTCCTAATCTATGTAAACGATATCTGCAGTGTTATCCGAAATGGCATACCCTACCTTTTCGCTGACGACTTGAAGATAGTCTACAGCTTTTCTCCTGCAGCACTAACACAGGGTTTCTCTCAAATACAAGAAGATCTGAAGAGGATATTCATATGGAGCGAGACCTGGCAGCTCCCTCTAAACCCAAATAAAAGTGGCATCCTCCATTTCAATAAATCCCACCCAGAAGTAACGCTACACTTGGGTGATATTGCACTGCAGGTATACAACACTGTGAAAGACCTCGGAATCACTTACTCCAGAAGTTTGACTTTTACGGAGTATGCAGACTCAGTAGTTTCCAAGGGCAGAAGACTCATCGGTCTTCTACACAGAAACATACTCATACCTGAGGCAAAACTTATACTGTACAAGGCTATGGTTCGCCCAATATTAGAGTACTGCACCGTTATCTATGGTAGCATGAATGTGTCGGACAGAATTCGAGTAGAGAACATTCAACGGAACTTTACTCGGCGCCTACTAATACATAACGAAGGACTTCCTTACGAAGCAAGATGCAAAAAACTAGGACTAGAATCACTCTGGCTGAGACGCCTGAAGCTCAACTTAACACTTCTTTTTCGTCTTTTATTTACAAACCCTAAAACGAAATGTGCTGTCACTTTTAAAACAACACAGGCATATAATCTGCGTAATAGCGAGAACATCATCCCAATAAATAAGTATCGCTCAAAACTTCGATGTAGGTTTTTCATAACGCAATACAGTATGCTGTGGAACAAACTTCCCGCTCCTATACGAGCATGCCGTTCGCTCGGCCAGTTTCAACGACTACTTAGTAAATTCCTCCTATCTAACGAATCTCATCAATTCGTTGACGGCCAAACCACAAACGGTAATGCCATGCACTAAGGTACTACTGGTACCTAGACTCAAGGGAGACTAACAGCAATGACATAAGTATACAATGCCGAAAACTAAACGCAATAGTTAAGTTAAAATCTAATTTCTTAGAAAAAAAATGACCAAGAGTGGACAGGAAGCGGAGTGCGACACGATATGCTACAGTGAACTTATTAGATACTCAAATGTAACCTACTTTTCTTCACAACCTAACCGATCTCACGACTTAACACCTATTTCCTAAAAATCGCCCCTTAAAGTAAACTCTCCACTCCGAAAAGATAAAAGAACTGTCTGTCGGTGCATTTTCATAGCATGCAACTCTTTATTATTTGCCCTTACATCTAAGTACTCTGCACCAACATAGTTTCGGTAGACCCGATATGGTAATGCTCAACAGGCAACACCATGATCATCCCCTCGTGACCAGATAAAGGGTGGTGGTCCTAAGAACAAAAAAAAACCACGAATTTCACCTAAATGTTTATAACTTCATCATACGCTTGTACATAGGTATATAACAAGTTAATACCTGGTCAAATATCCTCTAATCTTTCTATTTCGTAGTGATATCTTCAGCTTCAGACTGACTTTCATTACTGTCGTGCGCACCTTCATCTTCTTCCACCTAAGCTTACCTCTAAACAGTTGGTTCTGGACACTTCCTCAAGTAAGTTTAATAGTCAGTACAAACTCACCCAGATGTATCATGGTCGATCTACTCCTGCGTATTTTTGTGCTCCTGTTACAAATTTCGCCTGCTGCTCGCTTTTGTTATTCACTTTTCAGATTTACTTAACCAGTCCTGCATTCAAATGGAATCCTACAAATCGCATTCGTCAGTGGGAAATATTGGCACCAAAACCTGATGACGAACGCGCACACCCCAAGGTCATGACTGTGATGCGGCCTCACCTTCAAGAATATTGGATGATTCAAACGATGACCGGATAATCTTCAAATTCGAACTGAGCCTGCTTCAACATGCCTCCTATATGCCATAAATCACAGCATCTAATGTATAGCATAACATTGTACATAATAGTCATCTCTCATTACCAAAGTGATCAAACCTGTAAACTGGTTTGTATTCATGTAACCTTTGTTGCATGAAATATATTATTATTATTATTATTATTATTATGACTCCAAGGAGTCGATTCAACACCAAAATGAGGGGAGGTAGGTAGGCGTGCCAGATAAGTCTTGCTCAGAAGCTTAAGGCAGACCCCCCACACCTATGTTGATCCATGGCCGAGGGAAAATCCACCAGCCGAGGCCTTTGACCCAGTCTCGTAAGCCATCTTGATAATGAACTAACATTTGATTTGGAAAAATGCCGAAATATGTTTCTCTGCACCCCTGAACCTCAGAAAGTGGCCTAATCTCTCTGTTGGACACAACTTTCCACACCACCACAGAGAAAGACTTGGGGCCAATACTGATTGACAAGCTGGTCACCAGCTCCAACTACCTGGGAGACGTCTTCACAGCTCAGGCGGTACTATACTTCATGACCAGACAACCAGGTGCCCTCACTCTATAACTCTATAACCTAAATACGACTTCACTTAGAGGTGTACGACGTCATTGCTCCACCCTACCTGAAGAGAGATGTGAATCTCCCGGAGACAGTACGGAGTGCAGCAAGAAAAGGTGTCATGATGATGCAACAAAAACAATGTGGGGATAAGCTGAAACACCCAGAACTTTACTTTCTCAGCTGTCGTGGGCCACGTGGTGGCTTGGTAACGCCATACAAAGTACTGAGTAATCCAAGTCATCTGAACAGTGAGATCCTACTGAACGACTACTGTGGTAATTCTTGTGGTAACCGGTGAGAATTTTTCACCAAACAGCGAAAGACCATGTGCGTTCATCCATTCTCTCTGTGAGCCTGCGGTCACCGGAATGCATTTTCTGCCAAGGTTGCAGCTATTCCGTTTGCGGCAGTCAAGTTTGGACAGCTACGCAGTGACGCACGGTTTGCGCTCATCAAGCTGAGATACGGACTAGCTTGATACAACCCATTTACTCCTCAAAACTCACAGCAGCCAACCCATTACCGAATCTTTTTTAACGCCACTATCATCGCGAACCTGATTTAACCTCATACTTGTCTGCAGACATTGCCACCAGTTACCATCCTCCCACTGGTAGTATTACCGTCTTTATTTCCATAACCTTAGCTGCTACTTTTCTTCCCTCTGACCATACTGTCTCACGCCATCCACTAAAAGCTCTCCTCACTTCTTATCTCCTATAAATCTGTGTAGGTTTCTTCTCTCCCCTCCGTTCCGCTTCCTTTCACCACGTAGGTTTTTTTTTCTTCGCACTTCCTCGCTCTTGATTTCTCTGGATACCTTTTCTACCTCCTTTTCAAGGTCAGTCCGACTATCCTTCAGGTGACACGACACCTGGGAAACTCACCTGCACCAGACTCCGTTGAAAATTCATGCAACCTCCACAAACTTAATCAACACATGACCGCCGGTTAGACTGGCCAAAACTGCAGCCAGCTAACCGCCTGAGACGACCGGACACAAAGATGGGACAACGGATAGCCCCAACACTCAAGAGGGACTCTAATCTCCTTTAAAAATAAGATCATCGCATCAAACTCAGTTGTGGGGCCAAGAGGAAAGACATATCCTGAAAGACTTAAACACCTAAACTTATTTACCTTTGGTTATCGTGGGAAGAGGAGTGACCTCATCATGGCCTACTAGATCGCCCACCAGACAAACTATGTGAACAAATTAATTTTGTCTGCAAAACAGCGGTCTTTACGAGGAGGCCCCATTAAGATGGCACATCAGAGGGCCACCACCATACTCAGGTCCAATTTCTTCTCCCTGAGAGTATGTGCTTTATGTAATGCCCTTCCACGACACATTGTGATAGCTCCCTCAATAGACTCATTAGAGAGACTGTTAGATAGTTATGTCACCTGGCATGGTCTATCATGACGTACTCAGGAGTCGCCAACCTCGCTAGCCCACCCCACCCTCCTCCTACCTACCACTCACTATCTCGCCCCTTAATACACCCCCGTTAGCTACTATTCCTTTTCCAGGAAGTAGGTCTACGCTATGTATCTTCACACCTCGTGGAAACTTCCACATGCTTTTCTTGCCCTTTTGTTTCTATTCTTTCCTTTTTCTTTTCTTTCTTTTTTTCACGATTTACCACCACCCAGTCTTTGAACAAAAGACTTGGGTGTCATCATTATTCATGATTTGAAAACCTCGGCAAGCTGTAATTCAGCTGCAACAGAGGGTATCCTTATGTTATGGTCCTCCCGTACAGCTTTACAAAGTTTTGATGAGGACATGTTTAGAATGCTCTACTCTACCTAGGTTAGACCTCACTCGGAATACTGCATTCAGACGGCCAGCTCGTGCCTAAAAAAGGATGCGATCGCACTCAAAGGTGTTCAAAGGGTAGGCACTAAGCTTGTGATAGGTTTTTTGAATCTGTCCTATGAAGAAAGACTGAATCAGGTAAACTTATTCTCACTGTCCTACCGTAGAAGACGAGGTGATCTCATACTGGCATTTCGTATTCTTTATAACGACTTCGGTACTGATATTTCCGATCTTTTCTCTTTTGCTACGACTGAATATTTCCGAGGGCATCGCAAGAAAATTCTAAAACCGCGATCGAATCAACATAGCGTGAATCTGCGTTTCTCCCATTGTGTTTTCAACGACTGGAACTCCTTACCTCATCAAGTAGTATCAGAACCTTCTGTAAACGCGTTCAAGGAGAGACTAGACCTTCACAGAGATATCTTCTGCAAGGATTAGCACATGCCAACTGGCCTTTTATCCTTACAAATGAAAAATGAATATTGGACTGAAAAAAAAGGAAACGGACCGCATTGTTAGAGTAATGCGTTACATGTGATGAAAACACTATCTTTCCTGTCACTGTTCTTTCTTGTTAGCTCCATTAATTGTAACTATTATGACGTTCTTGGTATATCTAAATCTGCCACATCAATAGAAATCAAAGCAGCGTATCGAAAGTTGGCTAGAAAATGGTAAACTTGCAAGTGTTTTTAACTATGATCTTTTTAGGCATCCTGATAAAAACCCAACAGAAGAAGCTAGCAAAAAGTTTATTGAAATAAATGAGGCATATGAGGTACCTAGCTTATTAGAATTATATGTATTATGATCGCTGCTCATCAAGGTCTTGTCGAATCCTAAGAAGCGCCACGAATATGACATCTTTGGAAGAGTTCATACAGATGGAAGTCCGCCTCCTCCTGGACATTACCCCTATCGTCATGAGTTTGGACATTCGCCATTCGAGGAGCTTTTTGACTTCTTTCCAGGTTTTAATCGTGCCCCTCAATTTTCAGTTAATGTCGTTGTAAGTCTCGGAAGACAAAGCTATATCAGAACTATTTACGTTACTGTATTAGTCCTTTTCATTTCATATGAGGTTTTTTCACTAGTGCACCATGATGTTTAGTTTGGCTACAGTTTGTTGAGAAACGATCAGGTTTTAGACTCATGGGTCTTTAAATATTTCCTTTTTATGAGCCGGAGACAAGTTAAGCCCCTAACCCAAATTTATCACATTTCCGAGTCTTGCTTTGCGGGTTTTTTCCTTTTTTTCCTTACTACCACTGCTGCTTGATGGTGGGTGCTGAGTTATAGGTGTTTTGTGAATATCCTCAAGAAGACTGCAAGCATATTCACTTGGTTTTTGAAAAGGATAATGTTAACAATGTGAAAAAAAATTTGAATACCAATCCACATTTGCTTGTGGGAACAGATGCATTGGGTACATTAAATATAAATATATATATATATATATATATATATATATATATATATATATATCGGCTTAAGTCATGGGATACTGTAATTTATGTATATGCAGTTTATACGCTATTCGTATTATATACCATCTGTTCGATTATGATCGTAATATTTTTGGTTATGTATTTTTTAGAACTATACTACATAGCTTTAGTAATGATGGGCAGTGGGTAGCGGTGGAATCCAGGATACAATAACACTAAAAAATATACCGCTTAGCGTTGCAAGAGATTGTGCCTGCTCTTTCTAAGTGTAGAGTCCTTGTGTAAAGTTAGAGACAAAACTTTGATCCTAGTACCGCATGTTATCATATTTTTGACTTCCATATTTCTTCCTTTTCCGCTTGTTTTTATTACCAAACTACAATGCGGATTAGCGGTCATGAATTGTCATATGCGATCCTAGTTGTATAGCTGACTACCATATTCTTGTTTTTTCGTCCACTCGTTGTTCCTAGTCCTCACTCGCTTTCATAAAACATTTCCTACCAAGGCAACTCTTTATCTTCTAACATGAATTTCATGAACTCTGAACAGTGATCAACTCACTTGAAAGTATCCTGCCAAACTAAATAGTGCTTTCTTCACACTTTTCCCCCGCCTTAGATGATTTAGTGAGTTAACAAAACTTTGTCAGATTGATACTAATGCGCGTAAAGGGAAAAAATCTCTATATTGTAACTCTACAGGTATTTAAAATGCATGATGAATATTTTCGGTTGTATCGGTTGTTTATGCTACATAAAAAGATTAATTTATGAACTTTCACTTACTCAACTATTTTCTATTTTTTATTACTGCCGATCTGTTCCTCCTTCCTCTCTTTCACTACTTTCTAATGACCACCTTTTCCTTCTTAATTTATTTTGCTGCTTTGTTATTAAATGTGATGATGTGAGGGGTGGCAACGTGAACCGTTGCTCACTAATACCTTGTCCTATATTGATTTTGAACCTCACGTAGGTAACATCCACTAGTTACTAGCCGTCCCTAAGCCCGGATAAAGAGGGAAGGTTGGGCTTAGGGCGGGCAACCCTGCTCTGTAAAAACCTATCCAATCGCTGAAGAAACTTCAAAGCACAGACAAAATATAGAAAATAAAAACAAACTTGTTCCTCACTGGAATCGGAGAGATGGAACGACGCCGGTTGGTGAAAGCCTGCTTTCGAGAGGCCAATTGGCCGATGTATCTTCGCTTCTCTCGATGAAAGCAAAAGTAAGAATGCGGACATAGAATGTCCGCACCTTATATGAACCTATTAATGCTGCCCAGATTGCAAAAGAGATGAGGAGGTATGGCATGGAAGTGCTAGGAACCTGCGAAAGCAGATGGAATGGAAGTGGACTCTCCAAACTGTCGACTGGATAGTCAATAATCTACTCCGATATTGCCACCCAGACGACAATCACGAGCACACTGAGTTATGGAGTGGCTATCATAATGTCCCCATTGAGCATCGAAGGCTCTCATGCAGTGGGAACCAGTCTGCTGCAGGATCAGGATAGCAGGATTCAACTCAAAAGGAAGGGAAGTCACAATCATGCAATGCTACGCGCCAACAAATAATGCAGATGAAGAGAGGGAGGAGGAATTCTACAGACGACTGGAATCAGTGCTGGACAAGACCCCAGCGCAGATGGCGACATCAAAATTCTAATGGGTGGGGTGACATGAATGCCAAACTGGGGGCGAACAGCACAGGAAGAGAACTCATCATGGTCGAGAGGCACTCGTTTGTGAAATGAATGAGAATGGAGAACTGTTTGCAGACCTGTGCGTCTTAAATGATTTGGTGATTGGAGTCAGGCAGTGTGTACAAACACAATAATATTCACAAGGCAGCGACATGGACTTCACTAGATGGACATATTAAAAATCAGATGGACTTCATGTGAATGTGAAGAAAGTGGAGACGCAGCCTATTGAACAGGAAATCAGATGAAGAAGAGGAGCAGATGTAGGTTGAGACGACTCACTATCTAGTGCAAGGAACCTACCTTCCAAATCAAGCTGAAAGCCTTCGCAGAAGCAGCTGGTGATAGACGACCATAGTTGAAGTTGAGCACGGAGAACAGAAACTGAACTGAAGGACTAAACTTCAAAGGACATCTTCACGTCAGTCAGGCATCAGGACGAAATGGGAGACATTGAGCAACATCCGTGAAGAAAACTGTGTGGAAAGACGCTGGAAAGGAGAAGAAAGAAGATAAGACAAGGAATGGATCTCGATGGATAGATGGAGGCTGATAGAGGAGGGAGGGGAAGATGGTGAAGCAGAAGATGAACCAGTGCAAGGATGCACAACAAAAAGGAGAACTGTGTACAACGTACAAAACACCACACTGGACAAAAAGGTGAAGAAGAGTGCACGAAAGACAAAAGACACTTGTACGACACATTGGCAAGTGAATCAGAACAGGCTGCAGGTAGGAGAAACTTGACAAATAACCAGGTTACTATCTGGGAGATAAAAGGTGGACGCAGATGAAACCAATGAAGGATAGTGAAGGGAGCTTAGTTGCCACCAAAGAGGAGAAACAATCGGTTGGCCGCTTCATAAAACTCTTCAACCGACCATCACCACCACCTGCAACCCGTTCAGAAGTACTACCAGCAGCGAAGCCACAGAACTATCAGTGAATACAAGCCCTGCGACAAAATCGGAAGTGAAGTCCTGAACTCCATAGAGCTACTGAAATCTGGGAAGGCAGCAGGACCAGATGGAATCCCGCAGAAGCACTGAAAACAAACGCAGGGAAAACAGCGGATTTGCTCACACCACTATTGTAGAAGGAAGGAAGGGGACCTATTGATTAGAAGAAGGGCTACCTTACCAGCGGAATCCCAAACAACTGAGGACTAAGCCTTTGCAAGAACTGGTGAAGAATCATGCTTCTGTGCACCTCAAGCAAAATGTTATGCCTCATCATCCTGGAGAGACTTAAAAATGCTCTGGATTGAAAATAACGACCGGAACAGGCTGGCTTGCTTCAGGAAGAACAAATTATTTGTGGATAAAATTGCAACACTACGCTACGCATCATCATAGGACGAGGAGTAGAATTGAAGTCAACTCTTTACCTTGACTTCGTTGATTTCGAAAAGGCCTTCGACATCGTCGACCGGGAAGTAATTTAATAGGCAGCTGCCTCAACACTACGGAGTACCATAAAGCTTTATCATAATCATTCAACAGCTATGCGACTTCCATCAGGTGAACGCAAAGAGGATAGAGGTGATGATACCCAGCCAACAACGATGGGTTTAGTGAGACCAAGATTTAAAGTATTCTGTTTGTTGATTATTTCGAATGGTTCTAAAGTATCTGTGTGTACTAAGTGCTTGTTAGTTGCACTAATCATAGGCTCTTCGGCACTTGTTCGAAATATGCAAGTTTTCAGATACGCGAATTGATACACACAATTGAAAGTAACACATGATTGGTACCACTCAATTTTCGATTGCACCAGCGAACGAGAATTTCGAAATGGGGGCACTGACTTTGCTGCAGGATGTTCCTGTTCAAGGCGGAGATTAGTCTTCTGTTTACCATCAGCGTTATATCATCACCTTGGAAGTCGAGGTGAATAAAGACCGGATTCTTAGTGTTTTTTTTGTTGATTTTGCTGAATTCTGTTCTTCCGTATTTGTTGATGAAGCTTTGTAAGCATCTGTTTTTCCTCAAGATACTTCTCCAAAGGCAGTGATTCCTTTTCAAGTTTATCCAGTGAGAATATTCTTCGTGCTACACAGAACGGCGTCTTAACCAGTGCTAATTTGCAATGGTAAGACATTAGATGTGTGCCTCCTATAAGTAGGTCTTTGAAGTATACTGTCTGTTCTACGTTGGATACTGACGTCCAGAAAGTTCAATTTACCGTTGTCTCCGTGTTTCATTGTGAAGTTAGTGTTTTATCTAGATTACAAAAAGTTCCAAGCAGATGTGATGCCTGCTACTTGCTGTTTGTTCTTGCCCTTTTAAACTTGTTAAAGGAATATGTATGGATTTTAAAAATGTATCACGTTGGAAGTGCTTAGTGCATATATATATATATATATATATATATATATATATATATATATATATATAGTATGTGTAGTATATGGTTATGCTTCTCTGTATGATACGTGTAAAAAAAATTAAAAAAGAACCATAATGGAACTGTGCTCTACTCTAGTGTCCGAATTCCACTCATGTTTATGTTTCGCTAAAATTTTGTGCTTTAGTATTCTGATTTCGATTCTCTTCTTTGACTTGTTTACGTGACGTCACAGCCATTAGGTCTTCGTTAATAGATTTAAGTGATTTTGCTGATTCGGGTCTATCGGATTCTTTGGCCTACAAATTTTCTCTCTCAGGTTTGAATAACATTCTGATACTGACATTGTTAAGAACTCCATTTTGAATTTTCGGTGTATCTAGTTTACATAATAATACCACGGAGGCTTCGAATTCTCTTTTATTCTTGTCGCAATTACTGTTGGCACTACTACTTTTTTATTATAATCTCTTAAGTGTGACAGGATGATCATCCTAACGTGATTATGAGGAATTAATTGTAATCGGAGCATGCAGTGAATAATATCACATAACTTACGTTAAGTAAACTAATCTATGAAAAAAGGAAACTTAGTTCAACCGCGAAAACTTCAACCATCGAAGAGTAAAGGTTTCATTCGTAGGTTCGTCTTTTCTCTTCATTATCTGGTAGTTTGAAAAAGTGGTTGGAGCCAAAACGTTTTTCTTTTCGATGAAGTCATTTACTAAGCTGTTGATTCATGAATATGTGTAACAGTGGGTAGAATATTTCGGAATCGTTTCCGGTCGGCGGTCAGGCTGACACATTAAGCCAAATCAATTTGTGTACGCGTTTATTTGTTCTTGTAGAGCTGGGTGCATCTCCCGTACCATGCATCCGCTTGTGAAACGTGCGTGTGAGCACTCTTTTTCTATGATCAAGCGGGTCTTATAATTATCTTTAGTTGTCTTCAATAAAACTGATCTAATAATATTACCATAATGCCTAGGTTTTGCTCTTACATGGATCAAAAAAGTATATTAACAAAATTTTCAATGTATGAGTGAAATTAGGGGATGCATGCTCTATTCCTATGCCTTCGATTTTGTGTCACATCACAGGTTCTTAATACATCAGTTTAGTTATCATTCGGGTTTCAACAAGAAGGCCCACACTTTCCTATATGATTCAAGCAGTTAAAGACCCTGTATAAGCTTGATAGATCTCAGCTTCCTCCCAGTATGATCTTACCCTAACTAAGCAACACGAAACAGACGTTCAGTCACCATGCACAATATCTACACTTACTGCTTAAATTGATAAAAGTTCATAGCCATAATAGTATTGGCTTAATTTTGATGTTGTTTTCTGTAGGCATGATGATATAGTTTTCATTCTTGTGGAGCCGTAGATCATTGATCTAGACGTTCAAATGTTAACGTATGGAGCAAGCATTCTAAAACTACCTGCTGAGAAATCGGCAGCTAGATAGTATCATTAGTACTCGCAATGGGTATAGCTGTTTGTCTGGTGAATGGACCAGGACATGGTTACCCAGTTGGAATTTTCTTTTACAGTTTCAATTCTTGATAGTATTATCACAAAATGCAGAAAGTAAGCTATGAAAATTCCGCATTTGGTCCTGTAGCTATTTCGGCGACTAGTAATATTTTCGCTGCTTTCAAATGTCCCACTAAACACTACCTATGCTGTCAAGGTTATTGATGGGCAGCTACCTATAAGCTATCTTGGCGTTTGCCAACCTGCACCTTCTATCAAACTTTCCAGCAGTGTTTTCACTGTAGCTGTGATTGAAAATCTAATGACCTTGTAGCAGACATACTTTTAAATGCAAAACTGAATATCGTTTAGATCTCACTTGTATTTGAGCATGAATGTTGGTAGAAATCATTATGGAAATCCAGTCTTGCTGAATTTAGTCAAAACAACCAGTTATATTAAAAAGCTGGTGAACTTTTCTCCTTACGAAATTATATGGAAAGAATTTACGTAGGATTATATATATATATATATATATATATATATATATATATATATATATATATATATATACATATATACATATATATATACATTCTAACTTGTCTCTTGAAGAAAGTTTATGGGGGTGAATAGAAGACTGATATATAATACGCAAGCAACCACTATGTCATGTTCGGTAGGACTGTAACCTATTAGTGTAAGCACTCCACTTTCAATCAGTTGGTCATGATTTTGAATGCCGCACCTCCTGCTGAGGTCCAGGCAGGTATTTAGTATCATTAGCCCTTACACAATAGGTGTAGCTTGTTTATTTTAGTGCTCAAACGTGTAAGTGGTTGCTGAATGCGTTTCGATTTCCTCAACTCGTATCAAGTTTCAGCGAACTAGGCTAAGGAGGTTTTAATGAATTTATTTTTTAGTAGGATATGAAGTCCTTTCAAATCGGCACCGTGTAGTCGATAGGTATAGTGATGGTTGACAGTTTAATCACTTATTCTACCAAGATTCTGAATCCTAATGCATTTTTAGGCGGTTGGATTTCTCTATCATGTTTCTCGAAAATAATGAGTTTTTTGTTCTGTTACATCTTTAAACGTTAGCATTGGGTTCTACTTGACATTCAGGTAGCAGATAGTATTTGCACTAATATTATTTTAAACCTTGAACTAGCAGAACTTTATGTTAGATTTGTTTATTTGATATAATACCTACTGACATTATTTATATTATTATTTTCACCATTAATATTATCACTACATCATTGTTATCACCAGTATTCGTACTGTTTATCACCAAGAGGTTCAAAATAGTGTAAGTGGTTTCTGAGTTAAATTAATTTCAGAACTTCTTAAAAATATTGTCTTGAGCTTACAACTCCTTAGCATCTTAGAATAGTTTCCACTACAAATTGGTACCATTCAGAGAGTTTGTTTAAAGCTAAGATGTACTAAGCATATGTTCTGTCCTAATTTTAGACTCCATATCAGTATGTGAGCTTGATGCTGTACGAGATCAAGCATAAATTCGCTGTATACATTACTTTGTCTTCAGAAGCTCCGTGATCAGATATTTTTCTATGATACAAGTTTTTTTCGGATTTATCAATTGTCTATGGACTACTCAGTTAGACCCTACTGTTTACCCCTTTTTCGGTTGCTCATAAGGGATTACTGAACTATTTGAAAATTGATCTAAACTTGTGTTAGATATATTGTCGAAATCCACAACCGCTCTGGGTGGAATTTTAGTCTTGGTCATTTAAGTGTATCTGATTTGGTACATTTGTAGGTACTGTTGATTCGTCACCATGAGGGGATTTTAGCCGTGAGTTGTAAAATACCGAATTGTTTTAGTACTTTTTATGGGTGCTGTTTTTAGTGTTGAATAAACATCTGTTATCGTCCAGTTTTGCAATTTTTTCTTTTCAAGAATATTGACTTCCGAAGTTATCGTCTCACTCATCTTCCACGATCTCGTACGGTTCCGCTACTCATCCTCGGTTATTCTGATTTTTGCTTTCCTTGTCGTCAAATACGCCCACTTTGGTCTCACTTGGCAGATGAACTCACTCCGTTGGGAATAACTGTGGCAGGTGTTAATTTGGAACATGATTCTGCGCTGCTTGAGGAGCTACGTGTACTACATGTTCCGAGTGTTACTATTGTGGTTGACGGTCAAGTAAGTTTATGGCTTTCAACTTTCATGCTGCAACTTAGTCATAATAGTTTCTTTTTTGTTTTTATTTGCTGTATAAAAGACACTAAAAGGAGAATATTTACTATCAAACCACCGTAGGATTTATTTAAGAATGATGAAGAAATTTTCTTCTGCTTTCAATAGTCGAAAATTGCTTACTCATTGTAAAATGTCTAGTAGGATGAATAGCTCCGCATCATTTGGTGTAGATGGTATCACCACTGTTGCACGTGTCTGTGCTGATTTTGGATATTGTAAGTTTTTCTCGTACTGAATAATTTGGTTGTGCTTTCTCTTTAACAGTAGTTTATTACCCTACAAATTTGAGGTGGTGGTAAGAAAATAATGAAGTTCGAACTAAAACGATTTCAGGTCCTTGTCTTTCTGTTGGAGCCATTTTAAATTATAAAACTTATCTGGATTTGGTGTTAGTGGAATCTTAAGGTTTGCCATATAAAATTGGTTAAACAGACTAGATTATCTTTTTCTCTTTTGGGACAGCTTCATGCTCATAACAGCTTTTCCCATACGTACTGAAGTATGTAGGCTGCCATCAACTAAAACACTTGACTATGCAATCTGTTTGTTTACTGGTTAGCCATCCACCATGTTGGTTTCTGTTTACTTCAGTGAGAATCAAAACGAAAACATGGTATTAGTTTATGAAGACATGTTCTTCCAGTTAACAAAATTTATCTAATTTATCCCTTTCGATCCTTGAAAAGGCTATGCCCACCGAACTGTCCTGTTGTCTTCACTTACTCGTCGCACTTGCGCTGCTAAATAAGGATGCTACTTTTTTTTAGTTGCGTTTGTATTCCATATTCGAAAATAGTTCTAGTGTTTTGCTTGGTTCGTGCTGTTGGAGAATGAAGCGATTCAAGCCTACATACAGGTGTTTTTCGATTATTCTTCACTTGGAATTAGTGGGACTGTGAAGCTGTTTTGTCAACAATGTCAGTACTTTCATCCTGTCTAGGAAGCAGACTTATCTAAACTCTAACTTTTGGGGATGTAAAAATTTGTAACTTTCAATGGAAAGAGTTGCATACTATGCAATGCAAATATAATCACATCAGTCAATTCGGTTCAAGTCTAATGGTATGGCTGTGATTGGATAATCCGGTTCGTTACAAAATGGACACGCGTTCATAGAATCCTCCAGAGAAGCTGTACTCACTGCATTCACATGAACAAAAGTATTTCCATAAACATGAGACGGCTAAAGCGAACATCATTGTCGAGTTTGCACGGAGGGTTTACTCGGGAGAGTTGGAAGACTTATTCCAAAGAAGTGTTGCACATAGGCTCCACGATTCAGAATAGATAAGTGGCGTGTGAACCTACCTTGTTCATTAGCGACTGAATAAATGCAGCAGCTCACGTTTCCTCGCTACCTTGGACATCAGACTTCATGAAAGCCTATCTTAGGGATATGGAATGTCCCCACTATGTATGAACCTAGTAAGGCTGCCCAGATTGCAAAAGAGATGAGGAGGTATGGCATGGAAGTGCTAGGAACCTGCGAAAGCAGATGGAATGGAAGTGGACTCTCCAAACTGTCGACTGGATAGTCAATAATCTACTCCGATATTGCCACCCAGACGACAATCACGAGCACACTGAGTTATGGAGTGGCTATCATAATGTCCCCATTGAGCATCGAAGGCTCTCATGCAGTGGGAACCAGTCTGCTGCAGGATCAGGATAGCAGGATTCAACTCAAAAGGAAGGGAAGTCACAATCATGCAATGCTACGCGCCAACAAATAATGCAGATGAAGAGAGGGAGGAGGAATTCTACAGACGACTGGAATCAGTGCTGGACAAGACCCCAGCGCAGATGGCGACATCAAAATTCTAATGGGTGGGGTGACATGAATGCCAAACTGGGGCGAACAGCACAGGAAGAGAACTCATCATGGGTCGAGAGGCACTCGTTTGTGAAATGAATGAGAATGGAGAACTGTTTGCAGACCTGTGCGTCTTAAATGATTTGGTGATTGGAGTCAGGCAGTGTGTACAAACACAATAATATTCACAAGGCAGCGACATGGACTTCACTAGATGGACATATTAAAAATCAGATGGACTTCATGTGAATGTGAAGAAAGTGGAGAACAGAAACTAAACTGAACTGAACTGAACTGAAGGACTAAACTTCAAAGGACATCTTCACGTCAGTCAGGCATCAGGACGAAATGGGAGACATTGAGAATGCTGGAAGGAAGAAGAAAGAAGATAAGACAAAGAATGGATCTCGATGGATAGATGGAGGCTGATAGAGGAGGGAGGGGAAGATGGTGAAGCAGAAGATGAACCAGTGCAAGGATGCACAACAAAAAGGAGAACTGTGTACAACGTACAAAACACCACACTGGACAAAGAGGTGAAGAAGAGTGCACGAAAAGACAAAAGACACTTGTACGACACATTGGCAAGTGAATCAGAACAGGCTGCAGGTAGGAGAAACTTGACAAATAACCAGGTTACTATCTGGGAGATAAAAGGTGGACGCAGATGAAACCAATGAAGGATAGTGAAGGGAGCTTAGTTGCCACCAAAGAGGAGAAACAAAGGAAACAATGGGCTGACCACTTTATAATATATCAATCCGAAACCGTTCTAGATTGCAGACTAACTGTCATACATCCAGAAAGTGTAGATGAGTCTTGTTTGCACCTACAGAATGTCATTAAAACGGCTGGTCAAGTTGCTGTGACTTTGGAGATCGTTCGACTAGTAAGTCCGGAATCTGTTTAAGATGCTTGAAACTTTTTGGTGCTTGACGGCTTAGTGTGTTCTGTTCTTGTGCTACAAATTCAGGAGGATTTGCTCAAGAAACACGAGGTCTGGTGATGAGAACAAGTACCTGAGCTGCAAACGGAGGGTGCATCTGAGACATATTGACAGCATTCAGATATTCACCACTGTGTTGATGCTACTTACCCTATGGGAAGGGGATATAGAAACATTCGGTCAAAATATAGCATAATGCTGACTATCCTGTGGTATCCCGTTGCCGGTTGTGTGTGTTTGACTTGTCCAGTGTTAGCACAATCGAATATCAATTTAAAAATCCTAAAAGAACTGTTTGTGGCCGGCTTCAATTGGATGTCTCATGGGCTCTGGGTCACGGAAAATTAATCCTTTTTCGCCATCAGGTGCGTTACAGGCGCAACATCCGAGGTGTTTGCAGCCGGGAAGTACCAACCGCTCATCCTCTCCCGTCATTGTGGAAAACTCAAGTAACTATAGGCTGCCTTGTTTTCTTTTTCTCTTCTCTTTCTGATGTCATCAATAAACTTCGTACAGTCTCGTCAACCTCTGACTCTGCACTATGGCTGAGGATTCAAGCTAGCGAAACACTGTTCTTAGTATTCTAAAGCTACAATGGTAATTTTACATTTGAGCCATCAACGTCCAAACCTCATGCCAAATTGAAGAAGAGAAGTCACTTTTCGAAACTGTGAAATCGCGGTCCGTGGGTGTACGCTGTACTTTTGAGATATGCATGCAGGGCTTATGTGTGGTTATTCACTTGATTTCACCTGGCCAAGATGGTGAATCTTCAAAATCCATTTTATGAGTGTCAGGAGATTCAGTGTGTAACTCTCGAGTATTGGCTTATGTGAGTGTTATATTGTGTTAAAGAGCTGAAGGTGAACTTCTTCACTGAAAGCCAGTCAGCAGCCGACTGTGTGCTGTCTGAATGAATGGAATTTCAGTACTGGGAAGGGTTGTGATACTTCCTGCCTACTCATCCACCGTTAGCAGTATGGTGGATACAAAGCTTGAATCTTATCGAAACCCATCAATTTCACCACATAAAAGGAAAAGATCAGGTACAGTTATACTAGCAGGAGGTGTTTACAGTATCTTGAAACATCCAGCCACCAACAAAATCTTTTGGGATTTCGTTCTAACAATCACTTGCCTCTGGCAAACATCAACTTCAAGCATATAGAGACATATTTTTATGTTATGTCCATCGATATCAAACCAACGGTAGATACAGAATATATAGACTAAAAATAAACATAGCCTCTCGCACATAAGTAAATTGGTTTAAGTTGCCACAATTCACAGCAGCATAAAGGGAAGAAATGGATTGCAAAGGCTGTCTTCAAAGAAAACAAAACTGAATAAGAGAGGAAGTAATTTGAAGATATAGGCTACTACAAATATTCAGTTTTTAGAAGCCAAGGAGTGAGTACATCTGCACCATTGTGACTGATTTTCAGCCATGTCACCAAGAGTCCTCAACCATTGATTCATATCGCCTCGAGGATCCCAGCCACAGAGTTTACACCATCCCAGAAGGATCACACCAATAGTCATAGACTTCATGCACTAGTGCAAACGTCTTGATCTGGCCACCCCGAACCCTCGCCCAACCTAATCCAATTTCCTTAGCAATGCACGTCGAGGTAGGTGGTGGTTTGGCGTGCGCAGTACATACACAAGCCATCTCAGTCGACTAATTGTCACAACCTCATCGACCGACTTTCCTGTTTTGCTTAGTAACATTTAGATACAGGTTATCATTTTTGGTTTTACGTTTTTAGCAGGATTGACAGCTTTTCCGATAATTCATCCTTTGCATTATCCGAACTGCAGTTGGTGGGTGTATAGGTGGAGATTACTAATAGGCATGGGTTGACCTCAAGATCTTTCTTAGTTCTTACAGATCCATTTTCTCGAACAGTACATGGACGACTGTTGACTGGTATCCAGTTGAGGAGTGCGCTTTACGCTCTACAACTCAATCCTGTGCATACATCTACGAGTCGACGAGAGCTAGTCATTGGGTTTTGGTCTCCTCACCGCACTGGTCAGTTGAGGTTAGTTCGATAACCACACTCTGGTCCTGTCTCACAGACACAGCATACATCTACGGTTAAAGATTGCAGAGTTCTCGAGAGCAATGCTTGCTGTCCGATTCGGCATAGACTTCGGACATTGGAAGCCTCTAGATGAAAT